ATGTTGGTGAAAGTACACAATCAGCAACAAAGAATATGTTGCTGAAAAGTGCAAACCACTCTCTCCCCTTAACTTTTACCAAGATAAGCCACGTTGCTGAACCCTATTTTCAGCAACGTGACTTTGCTTGTTGAAAATGGACCAGAAGTGTGGGGGGAATCCGTCCATTTTTTTTACCAACGTGGAGCATGTTGGTGAAAGTATGCAATCACCAAGATAAGTCACGTTGCTGAAACCCTATTTTCAGCAATGTGACTTTGCTTGCTGAAAATGGACCAGAAGTGTGGGGGGGGGAATCCATCCTTTTTTTTTACCAATGTGGAGCATGTTGGTGAAAGTATGCAATCAGCAACAAGGAATATGTTGCTGAAGATAGGGTTTTAGCAACATGGCCTTTTTTGCTGAAAATTTGATAAAATTCCGATGGAAATTCAGGCAAGATTTCTCCAAGTTTTTAGCAACATGAGCCATGTTGCTGAAACTTCATCTTTAGCAACGTGGCCTATGTTGTTGAAGGGGGTGAGAAATTTCACCCCCCACCGGTCACCGGATTCCGGTGAATGTTTTCAGCAACATAAGTTATGTTGCTGATACTTTTTTTTCAGCAACGTGGCCTATGTTGCTGAAAGGGGTGAGAAATTTCACCCCCACCGGCCACCGAATTCCGATGAAAGTTTTCAGCAACATAAGTTATGTTGCTGATACTTTTTTTTCAGCAACATAGCTTATGTTGCTGATATATTAGCAACATGATTTTGGTTAGTAATGTATTACCCACCAAGCCTTCTTCAACCAAACTTTTAGCAACCAAACCCATGTTGCTGAAGGACTTTCAGCAACATGGAAGTCACTTTCAGCAACATGCTTCCATGTTGCTGAAAGTGAGGATTTTAGTAGTGTGAGTGTCCGAAACCATACAATTAAAGAGCATCAGTGATACAAACAATCCAGTTTGCCTTCCTTTCTTTCATCCAATCAAATGTTGTTAATTGCATGAAATCAGACACTATGCC